CTTCAACAGTTTTTAATAATCATGTTTTTAAAAATGATATTAGTAATGTTGTTGTTGTTGTTATTATTATTATTATTATTTTGGTGGGTGGTACAGGGATGGAACCCTGACTTTGGTGTTACCAGCCCCACACTCTAAATAACTGAGCTCACCAGCCAGCCCCCAGTATTAGTAATGTTATTCTGAAACTATTATAGATGTAGCAAATAAGTAATAATGTGTCTATCATTACGAACCAGCATAAAAGAAACAAGATTCCAATATCACACAATAAAAGAAGCAAAAAACTCAGAACTCCATATAATGAACAATATTGTACTGTACACTTGAAATTTGCTAAAAGGGCAGATTTTTTTTTTTTTTTGGTGGCTGGCTGGTACGAGGATCCAAACCGTTGACCTGAGTGTTATAACACTGTGCTCTAACTGAGCTAGGTGGGCAGCCCATAAGAGGGTAGATCTTAAGTGTTGTTACCACAAAAGAAAATGGTAACTATGTGAGGCAATGGATACATTACTTAGCTTGATTGTGGTAAATATTTCACAATATATACATATATGAAAGCGTCAAGTTATACAACTTAAATATTTACAATATATTTCTAAAATAGGAGGGTACTTCAAAAAGTTCATAGAAAGATTCATATTATTTTTTAATTCTATTTTCTACGAACTTTTTGAAGTATCCTTGTATATACTCATGAAATATAAAAATATATCAAATATAGGCTATACCTCAATAAACTTTGAAAAAAGTCTCAGAACTCCTCAGGCCAGCCTGTGGCTCACTCGGGAGAGTGTGGCGCTGACAACACCAAGCCAAGGGTTAAGATCTCCTTACCAGTCATCTTAAAAAAAATAAAAAAATAAATCTCAGAACTCCTCAATTTGTACTGAATATATCAATATGAACTCATGACATATTGCTCTTAAGCAAACAAAAACTCAATTTTCTAGTAATCACAAATTAAAATGCCTAGAGGAAATGACACTACAGTAGCACTGAGCACCCTGCACACCAAATATGGTCCCTAAATACCATTTCCCACACATACAAAGAGTGAGGGCTTATTGAGGAACAGCCAGTTCCAGGTCCTGGCAGGCCAGGGGCTAGAGGAGCCAGGGGCATCTTATGAGACCAGAAAGCAAGGAAGTCCCTAAGGGGCACCAGCTAGCTAAATATGAGACAAGCAAGAATTAAAAACAAAAAACAATCCAACAGATATCGAAATAAGAATCTGTGGATTCACAATAATACTAAAACAAACCCAGCTCATTATTCTAACCATTTTTTTTTCTGTTTTTGGCTACTGGCCGGTATGGGGATCCAAACTCTTGACCTTGGTGTTAAACACCGCACTCTAACCAACTGAGCTAACTGGCCAGCCCCAGCTCATTCTTTCAAAAACTGGCAAATCAAGAATTCAGCACATTTACTGTCTCCCATGTACAAGTAGGTCCCAGGTTGTATGGAGAGGATGAGGTAACTTCTGACTCCAGCTGATTGGCCAAGACAGGATGGGTCTAGATAACAATTCCCACAGGCTGCAGAACCATCCGGTGCAAAACTGATGGGGAAAGTGATGAGGGGTAAACAGGAACTGAGTCCACTGCTTGACCTCATGTCATCAAAAGAGAAACCAACAACGCTTGCCTCCTGGCCAAGAACAAAATGCACCAGTGAAGTCACTGTGCCAAGAACTCAAACCCAAATCTGACCATGCGTCCAGAGGTACTTTGTGCTATGATGAAATATTCTACATCTGCGCCATCCAGTATGGCAGCCACCAGCCCCATGAGGCTATGAAGCAGCTGATGTGTAGCTAGTGGGGCTGAGGAACTGGATGTGTACTTTTATTTAATTTTACTTCACTTTAATGTAAATTGCCATGTGTGATGAGTGGTTACAGTATTGACAGTGTAGCTCTAAAGCTAACGAGTTGTAGAACTACCAGCACCATTGGGGATGTGATCTGTAAAATCCCAAGTGGGGAGAGGAACCTCGATTATAGGCCAAACACCTAGGGTTTTCAACAGATAAATCGCAAGAACAAAGAAAAGGAAGGGAGTCCATTAACTGGTGAACAGATAAACACAATGTGGTCCATCCATGCACAGGAATATTACACAGCCACAGACAGGAATGAAGCTCTGACACACACTGAAACATGGATGAATCTCGAAAACACTATGCTGAATGAAAGAAGCCAGACACCAAAGGTCACAAATTGCATGACTCCACTTATATGAAATGTCCAGAACAGGCAAACTCATAGAGACAGACAGCAGATTGGTTGTTGTCAGGGGCTGGGGGAGGGGAATAGGGAGTGACTGCTGATGGGGACAGGGTTACCTTTTGGGGAGATAAAAATGTTCTTGAAGGGCCGGCCTGGTGGCGCACTGGATAGTGCACCGCTTGGGAAGCGCGGCGGCGCTCC